TATATATATATTATATATTATATATATATATATATATATATATATTATATATATATAATATATATATGTGAGTGTGTGAGAGAGATAGAGGGATAGTGGACCATTCTATAAATTTTAATTACTTAAAATCAATAAATTAATAAATAAATAAAAATAAGAGGCGCGTAATCATCTTTTTATGTGGACAGGACCAAATCCAATAAAAATATCCAATTTTGAACCATTGGTGCACTACCAAAACTTTTTGGACCAAAATCACAGAATTTTGTCAACCACGGGGACCATTTTTACAATTTTGTCTTCTGTTTTCTATCTGTGACAACTTCACTTCAACAGTTCAACTGACCCGGCCCAATTAAGCAAATACAATACGACGGTCTAACTTTTTTGGTATTTTTTGCTCTTTTCTTCTAGTTATTACGAATATACAATTCTTTTTAATTGTTCGCCATTCACCAAGTAGTGTGTGTGTGTGTGTGTGTGTATATATATATATATATATATATATATATATATATTACTGTATATAAATGGTATTTATGGTTTATCAAAGACTAAAGTGCAAAATTGGTCCTTGTGGTTTCGCAAAAACTGTGGATACGGTCCAAAAAATGTCTGACTTGTATGGAAGGTCCAAAATCATGAATTTTATGTTGGGTTTTTATTCAAAAACTAGTTTCAAAACATGATTTTAGCAACGGAAGACTTGATCATTTTTTTGAATAACATAAACAAGTTAAACCCACCAAGGATCATCTTGCAAAGTTTGGAAAGAAAACAAACACAACCAAAGAATAAGAAGAACAAATAACAACCTTTTTAGTTCTTTGTACCCTCTTGGGAGGCATGGAAGTTGATGAAGAATGATGACCTTTAGAGACACCAACAATAAGCCAACTTGATGTAGATGCTAGTCTAAAACTCTTAACTTTTAAGCTTGAAGTTCATAACCAAAGTATAAACTTCAAGAGAGTATAAGTAATATCTTCATAAGATGATCAAAAGTGAGAGAGAAAACCCATGCATAAGCATGTTACGGTTTTTGGACATCTATAAAAGCTAGCCAAATGCAAGCCTCATAATGTGGATATATTACATAAAGGGTCTTAAGCCTTTAAGACAACCCATGCCCCTAAGACATGGTGTCCCCCATGCTTGAAAGAAAGCCTTTACTTTTGATTAAACTAATCAAAAGACCATCTCTCTTCACCTCTCTCTCATTTTCGGCAATACTTCATCAAAAGAAGACAAAAGCTTTATATTTTATAAACCAAGATTATAAAATATAAACCTTAACCTTTTGGTAAAATACAACAAGTCCTAATGGTCCAAAATGTTGCACGTGACTTATTAATTCATAGCATATGAAATAATATGCTGCTTGCTAATTATGATTTCCTAGAAATAAATAATTTATAATTAATTATAAGAGTTTATTAAATATTTATTAATATTAATTTCTAATAAATAATCAATTGTATCAAGTTGTTGTTAGTATGACCCATTAGTATCATATGTTAAATAGCAATATCACTTTAATATGATTCTTGAGCATACTAGATCTTTCATTTTCTGCGGTTTTGGTCGCCGATAAAGTTGAAAGGACTACTTTGCCCTTATTATTTATTTTTTATATTTTATTTATTTAGTTATGTATTTAATTAATTATAAAAAATAAAAATAAATATTACCATCCCCTCTCCACCGTATCCACTTCTCTCTCCCCTTCTCTTTGACTTTTTCTATCTCTTTCTCTCTCTTTGACTCTCTATCTCTCTATCTCTCTATCTATCTATCTATCTATCTATCTCACTCTCTCTCTCTCTATCTATCTCTATCTCTCTCTTTCTTTCTTTTTCTTCTATCTTTTTCTTCTTCGTCTATCATCTGCAAATCAGGAGAAAAACCCCATATGTTTACCTACTTTGCTACTAGATTACACGCACAAGGAGACCCCAAAAAACCAGGTTCCTCAATTTGTTTTTGCCCAACTTCAACAACCCAACTTTTTTTCTTCAGATATCAAACACATGCACCCCACCTTTGAATCTAGAGCTTCACTGGTTCAATTTTTTTTACCCTATCTATCTTTCTCTCTCTCTCTATCTATCTATCTATCTATCTATCTATATATCTATCTATCTATCTATCTATCTATCTATCTCTCTCTCTTACGTGTTTCTCCATAGCCCTAGATCAGTTTTCGCTCTTCCCTGTTATTGCAATTGCTTAGTGTTTATAGCAGCAACCAAAGACTTTTTGGGAGAAAAAGAGTGGTGGCGGTGGAGGTTGTTCAACAAGGGATTGGTGGTGGAAACAAGAAAGTTGCAACAGGGATTCACGGAGTGTGACAAATGCACCCTAGAAAAGAAATTTGAAGACAGATAATAAGAAGAATCAGAAGCATGCGTATGTGGAGCATGGTGGTGAAACCCATGAAACCGAACCTTAAAACCCCTGAAATCGAAGCTTGAAAATCGGACCTTGAAATCCCTCCTGATTTCAATCGAAACTAGATCTTCGCCAAGGTGATGATTTTGATAGGATGATATTGGTTTCGATTTGAAGGGCTTCAATGGGTGGGGAGGATCCATGATCAACGAGTTGAGGATTGTGTATGTCAAGAAACTACCTAATGTCAAGAAACTACTAAATTCAAACAAAAATATTACAATTTTCATATAATTTGACAATTTCTATTCAAATACTTAATATTCTCAATATTTTTTATAACTCTTTATAGAAACTTGTCTAAATGCTAACTTTTTTCTCTTTCCACTTTTACATAGTTTGCGAATGTATTGCTAAAGTTCATATTTAAAAGATGATATTTCTTCAACATCAAATACATTGCATTACACCTATTACACATTTGTTGTTCCAACAAACGAAAAGAGATACCTCATCGTGTTCTCGAAACTCCGAAAACCAATGTAGTTGCTATTTATGATTAAGTCCTTCGTCCAATCATGTTCCTTATTACAAACACAATCATGTTATCAAAAGATTTATCGTAACAATGTCTATTTATTTGTAAGTTTTCTAAATTTCTAAATTTTCATATTTTCAAATTTCAAAGTATTTAAGACGGAATCATGCAGTAGAGCATTTTGGCCCAAGAGTACCTCAACTTAATAAAAACGAGGGACATGTACGTTAAAGTTATTTTTTATGCTCTTAGTTTCTTATAATTGTTTCAATGTATGCAATGCTAAACTAAAGTAGGTTTCTAATTGTAAAACCAAGAAAGAGTTGTGGAACGTTTAGGTAAATTTATTTATTTTTCTTAACTCATTAGATGATCGACATAGTTTTGACTAAGATGCTCATAATCCCTATTAGATTTGAGTCTCTCATCCTCTTGCCTAGTTGATTCAAAACTTCATTCGTGAGAGTCCTGGTTCAGACTCGTGTTTATTCAGATAAACATATTGATACGAAGTTGGTCTTATCATGTATTTTGTGGTTAATTTGAATGGGTCATTAGTATGAACTAATTCCAACATAAAATTACATCACCCAATGATGGAAATGTCATTTATCTTGATAAACAAGTGTAACACCCTATTTCTCGTTAGCAATTTAGGAAGCGGGTTTATAAATTCATAAGAATAATCATATAATTAGGGATAAATATTCTAAGTAATTATATCGGTGAATAAAACGAATAAAAGGCATTATACAAATTTAAATGATTAAATTATAAATAAAGATGAATTAATAATTAAATAAATAAGTTTAACAATAATTAATAATAAAATTAATAAAGAAATGAGTATTTTTGGGGGATTGTAATCTTTTTCTAGAAAAGGGGTTGAAGGGGTCAAGTTTTAAAACCATCTTTTGTCAAGAAAATTGTTTTGTGGGTTGAAACCGTCATTATGGGAAAGTCATGGGCAGAAAGTGAAAATCTCCTTTATTCCTTGGGTGATCGATGGGATGAAATGTTGGGCTCTTTTCTTGGGGCCAACTCTACTTAGTATTCAGATATAAGGAAGACTAAGCCCTAGTTCATCCCATTTTATTGGCGTACGACACCAAAAGCGAAGGGAGATAAAAAGAAAAAGAAGACAGCAACTGAAGATAGGGTGGCTACCGGAAGTTTGCTATCGGAGGAAGGGTTGACGGAGGAGAAACAAGGTGTCAGGGTGGGGCTGTGAAATTAATCAACTGAAAAAGGTTGGCTAAGACTTAAGGAATCAAACAAATAAGGTTTTTGGAGAAAACCCTATGCCACAACGTGTCGTGATATTAATTGAAACGCGTGTTTTGGAAATGTCACGACGTGGCATGAAGAAGGCCACGTTGTGGTAGCCGTTGCAGCTCAAACCCGGGATTTTTAGGGTTTCCTCATACATATACACCTTAACTCTCATTCTAGGTCATCTCCTTCAGCCTCCACCTCCCCATCTCGAAACCCTAGACTCCATGCATGCTTGAGAGTCCGTTTCCCTTGATTTTGAGCCTTGTTCTTGGGTTTTTGGTGGAGCTTTAGAAAGGGGAAGTTCAAAATGAAGCAATAAACAAGTTTGGATCCCGCATTGTCTTCACTTTTCTAAGTTGCTAAAGGTATAAAGTTCATACCTTGACACCTTTTCTTCTAGATTCAAGTTCTAGGTCATATTTGGGGTGGATCTGGCCGCTTTCTTGGATGTTCTTGGAGTTTGAAGAACTCCAAAACTTGTGGTGGCTTTCCTAGGTCCTTAGACTTCTGTTGATGGAGAAAAAGTACCATGTTTGGTGTATTTTGTGTCCATGTTCAAGTTATAGCCCCATTAAGGACTTAATGGACTTAGAATGCTAGATTTTGCCTTGGTATGGAGTCCTTTTGAAAGATGACATAGATAAGGGCAAAATGGTCATTTAATTTGAACTTAACGGATGCATGGTTAAGTTAGTTAAACGGTCAAGGGACAAACTTTGCAACAAAAATAAACATATTAGGGACCTTCTACTCAACAAATGAAACATTTGAACTGAATCCAAAACTTTTGACATACCACAAGGAACATTTCCGTAACTTAATTATTAACTACTTTGTGATAAGCTAAGGATGTAACCCATTTGAATTTTAATAATAATCTATACAGTTATGACTTTATATACATGTCACATCTAGTTACAACATTTGTTTAGTCTGCTGGGTATGGGCAACGCCCCAAGGGGCATTATTGGAAGTTATAACACGCAAACACCGCCCCCTTCCCCGTTATTAGGCGTTATACGCCTGCGCGTTGCTTCCCGTTACCACCATCACCTCCCTTCACGCCGTTTTTCTTCTTTTTTCTTAATAACGCCGGTGTGGGCGTTGCCCACACCTACCAGTCTTAACAAAATAAGTACAGATAGATACAACATAGAAATCAAAGTTGAAGGTAGGGGAGGACTTGAAAACAGCACTCCCACTAGTTGATTTGTTGTTCAAGTACAGGAGTGGAGCAACCATGAGTTTGATGATCAACAACATTATAATACAAAGAAGAAAGTCTGTTGTCAAACTTGGAGACGACTTTATGAACACATAACCCACAGTAGCGCTTCCCAATCCTGGCAATGCACATGTCTATGATTTTCTTGAACATGTTGTCACCTTTGATTAATGGTTGCTCTACAAACTCCATCAATGGCATCCACTATAATATATATATATATATATGTGCATGCATCATCATACAATTAACTAATAAATACAAACCAAACCAAAATAAATTGTTTACCCATTTTACCTTGGCTGCTTGAACTTCAAGGTCATCAATCTTGATCTCCATTGAAATCGGTCTCAGCATACAGATGAAAAACAAATCTGATTTTTCAAAAGCGACATTGTGTGCATGCCTGTACATTTACTAAATCAGGGAAATAATAATTGTATAGATGAACAAGTCATAACTTGATATTATCAGCATACCTGAACGCAATAACTTCCAAAAATTCAGTTGATATCTGAAAATAATAATAATAATGTGATAAATCATCTAATACATGTTAAAGTAAAAAATTTCATGGATTAATTCTTACCCCAGTTTCCTCCTCCACTTCTCTTACAGCTCCCGTGAAAATCTCCTCCGACTGGTTACATTTATTTTATTTTAAATATTAACAACTAACAAGAGTAATTATTGTGGAAAGAAAGCAAGTGTTTTTTTTTTTTTTTTTAATTTTAAGAATGCACACCTCAAGAATGAACCCAGTTGGTAGCTTCCAAAGGCCAACAAGGTCAGGTGCACAATGTTTTTCTTGAACCACAAGAACCTGCAACAAACATGTTATACTTTAAATTCATACCCTCACATTTATTTTATTAATTTAAATTATTTAAAATTTTGGAACCTCATTTTTGTGGTTCATCACGAAACCCCCAACTCCTACTTGATGGGAAGCATTGGCGGGTAGCATACATGGTTCATTAGGAATCCAATATGTCATCATAACGTATCCTGCTTCTGCATGATGATACTGAAACCCTTCCTGTAACACACAAATTAATAAACCTCAAACCCCTTACTTACACATCATATTTTATAACTAGGAAAAGGCTTACCCTTACTGCTATAGGAACAAGATCACATTTTTCTAGTGGCAACTTTAGCCAAATCCCTTTTTTACCCTGCAATTAGAATGAATAAAAATAAACATTGTAACCAAAAAACATATGCTGAAAGAAGCTTATTTTGGATGGAATGGAATTCATATAGCGACTGATATGAATTTTACCTCTCTCCTCCAAATTGAAAGAGATGAGCGAAGGGTAGAGGCAAAGACATTAGTGTTAAATGGTAGTTTTTCTGGATTTACAACGACTCCACCATACTCATCATTAAATCCATCAAGAACTCGTTTTTCCCTGAAGAAAATACTAGGGTTTCTGCCGTTTGCACCATCAAATCTATATGAATAAGTTTCAACGCCATATTTTTCTTGTCCAACCAGAGTAATAGCACCTTCTGAACTACTCAAACAAGCAGCCTCTTGAGAAGTACCTTTAAACAATAAGAGATATTTCAATTTTCAACAATCCATCAATAATCAAGTTTGCACTTTTTAATAATTTTCAACACATAAGTTGGTAAAATTGGGAAAATCATTTTAGTTTACGATAATTATCGACCATTCAATTCAAATTGAAAAAATAACCATCTTGATTGACATAAATATTGCAGTAAAACAATACCTTTGTAAGAACAGAGGAGGGGAGAAACCTTAAGAGAACTGGACATGAAGTTGGAGGTGGAGAAAGACAAAATCCCTTTTGGACCAATCAAATTTGACACAAAAAATGATTTTGCATCAATCAGATTCAAATCCATTACTCCAATCTACACCACAAAAACAAGTCCCAGAACCTACTTATATACAAATATGATACCACTAAATTTATTAAATTCTATAATCTTAAAAAAAAAAAAAAAACATTCAACTTACAGAATCTTGATTAAAACAAGGGGAATTCTTGGGGCGTGTCAATATCGGAGAAAACTAAACTTGATGCCCAGACAACCAGATTGGGTGCTAATCGTCCAGTGAATAATCAAACAAGTATATGTGTTACTGATGCTGGTATAAACCAAAATAGGTACAAGGAAAGTGAAACAAGAAAACTCATAAAGTATATAATATAGTGAAAAGCTTTTAGGTCAAGAAGGAAGTTTGTTAAATGGAGTTTGTGTGAAAATGACAAACAAGGAAAAATTACTAGGGCTTGATATGAAATGAGATAAATCGCATCAGCTGGCTAAGGATCAAGATTGGAATGACGAGAAAAAACGATGGAAATCCAGAAATCGTGTGGTGAAGGAGTGGGACTGTAGCCTGTGGGAGGGAGGGAAATCCAGAAATGTTCTACTACATATGTGAAATCATTTATTCATTTTAAATTTGTGGCTCCTTGTTGGCACACGAAGCACGTGCTTTTTTTTTTTTTTTTTTTTGGATAACTTAGCCCTAAGATGGATGTTCTCTTCCAAACAAATGCCACTGCTAAATAGTAGATACGGCGGTGGAAAAGACTTCTATTTAGCAATCTAAGCAAATAGAGAGCGGAACAAAACCGGACATTCGAGCAAAAATGGCGGAATCTGTGGTGCTTCCCGTTATCGATCTTTCTTCATCAGATCGAATCTCCACTGCTAACTCTATCCGGCAGGTTCTTCTTTTATTGTTTATTCTTCATCATGAACTTATAATTAATCTATAAACTGCCACTAATTTTATCAACTCTTCTAACTGATCGAAATTATATATCTTTTACCCTACATCTTGATTTGGGTTCTTGTCCTCTTTTTTGTGCTTGAATTTATATCTGTAAACATTGCTTTGACTATCTGAATATGCAATCTATACCTTCTCTTTTTTCCTTTTATTCTACTTTAAACCATGGTACCCCTCAATAACTCAATATATTATCTACACATAATACATCGAAATAGATTTGTCAACTTTTTGGCCTTTAAAGTTGATTCAAAGGTTTGTACAGTATGCCAACGTTGCAGGTGGTCACTCTTAACATCATAATCACACACACTCGCAAAATCGCAATAGCAGAAAAATTAAAATGAAGACGATTTTAACGTGCTTACGTCGACGGCATTGCTCCTGATTCTTGAATTTGACGATTACAAAGATGATGGAGAGCGTGATTGCGACTTAAATAGAGATAGATAAACAATTGTTTAAAGTGGATATTAGGGCAACTTTGTATTAATCTTACTAATCAGCTGATAAGTTTGGGTATAAATTAAAAAAAAAAAAAAAAGATTTATGATCAACTTACCTAAGACTAAAAAATGGTTAATTGTAATAATCTGTTTACCAGGACATGACCTTGTTAATAGCTTGCTAATGTTTTTTTGGAAATGTAATTAATGAAGCCAACAAACTCATTTGTTTAGTTTTGATGAATTAGGCGTGTATGGAGTATGGCTTCTTTTATCTAGTCAATCATGGGGTAGAGGAAGAAGTTTTAGAAAATGTGTTTGATGAAAGTAGAAAGTTTTTTTCGCTTCCACTTGAAGAAAAAATGAAATTGGGTCGCAAGGACGACGTGGGTTTCGCCCCAATATATGCTGAGAACCTTGATTCCTCTACAACTTCTAAAGGTGCATGTCATTCTTCAGGCTTCAGCTAGTTTAATTGTTCACAGTTTAATCAAAGTTTCAGTTCTTGTATAATTTATTTAACTACAGGGGATTTAAAAGAAACATTCCATATCGGTCCTTTAGAAGGTGAAGAGAGTCATCTGAATCTATGGCCTTCTAAAGGTACTCCTATTGGCTATGGGAGCTGATATATTCACTTTTCTAATTTATCCTTCCACTTAAAAAAATATTGGTTTTCCAATTATACCCTTTTGTTAATTAAAAAAATATATATGAAAAAAGAAAGAAGAATCTGAAACGGCCTCTTCCTAATAGACTGTTAAGAATCCCGCTCTTCCATCTCTAGTCTCTACTCCTTCATTGCAGGTGGCACGGTCGGCGCCGCTTCTTCGCCGTTCTCTGGCCGCCACTTGCCAGCCTCCGATGCTGATAATTTTTCGGTGGCCACTGCTTTAGTTATTGTTGATTTCATCTGATTAGAAAACAAGCAATCCTAAATCAAAAATATCAAGAAACAAAAATCCCATAAACACCCACTTCAGAAATCTGAAATCAAAGATCGAACAAAGGAGCAGGCCCGCGATTCGCATCCTTGCAGGATAACATTTCTTTTATTTTATTTTTCTTATGTATAAATCAATTGTCTGTATATAGAGTTCTCGATTCCAATATGATAAATCCATTCTGATCTGTTTAATCAATTTTATATTTAGTTTTATCCATTTTAATCAAATGACAAATGGAATCAGCAATCTTATTAACGTATCACTTCCAATCACTTTAACAGTAAAACATCCACTTCATTCCAATCTAACCTGTTTGATTCAAAACTTAAAACACTTATTGATTAATCAAACGAACCAACTTAAAAAACTTATTCAGTAATCAAATGAAATCAACAATATAATCAACAACTTATGAAAAGATTGAAAAACATGTAATCGGCTGATTATCACATTATGAACAAGATGAATCAGAAAACTTATTAATCAGATGAATCAGAAAACTTATTAATCAGATGAATCAGCAATATAACCAATATGTCCTTAAAAAAGATGAATAAGAAATTTATTAATCAGATGAAACAAATGTAATCAACAATATAATCAAACATGTAAGATGCTTTGTTCTTGACCCCTAATGACTAATCAGACGAAATCAACAATAACTAAAGCAATGCCCACCGGAAAAGTACCAGCGTTGGAGGCTGGCGAATGGCAGCCGAAGATCGGCGAAGAAGCAGCGCCGACCGACGACCTACGATGAAGGAGCAGCGACCAGATATGGAAGAGCGGGATTCTTGATTCTTGAAAGCCGATTAGGATTTAGGAAGGAGATTAGGGAAATGCCGTTTCAGATTCTTTTTTTTTTTTTTCATATAACTCTTTTAATTAACAAAAGGGTATAACTGGAAAATCAAATTTTTTTAAGTGGAAGGATAAATTAGAAAAGTGGATATATCACCTCCCATTGGCTATTGTTATATTTGTTTATATTTGCACAGATGCAACTTTTTTCTTCAGCTCCATTCTTACTATCTTGCAGAGATATTACCTTCTTGGAGATTCTTAATGGAGAAGTACTACAAAAAAGTCTTGTAAGTGTTGCTTTGTTCCTTTTTTTTTTTTTTTTTTTAATATTCTGATGGGGGTGTGATTAACAGGTCTACTGGGGAACGGTTGAGCACTTTGATTGCACTGGCTTTAAATTTGGAAGATGATTTCTTTAAAAAAATAGGAGCTTTAGATAAACCGTATGGTTTTCTACGACTTCTGCACTATCCAGGATTAAACGCAGCAGCAGGTGAAATTGAGGAGGAAGAGGTTGTATATGGTGCCTCTGCACATTCTGATTATGGAATGATCACGCTTCTGGCAACAGATGGTGTTCCTGGTCTCCAGGTCAATATAATTTTTTTTTTTTTTTTTTTAAATAATCATTATTTAAAAGTTTATGTGAGTTATTATTGATCATTTCTTGTGTATTGATAGGATAGGTGTGTAAGGAAAAACATAAGCAGCCACGGACTTGGGAGAATGTAAGTCATGTGAAGGGGTGAGTAGTTGGGAGAATGTTTTGTCATTTGTTTATTGATATCATTCTTTTAGAATATATTTTAATTTTTGTGGTGGTGCTGTGCAGGGCCTTCATTGTTAATCTTGGGGACATGATGGAAAGATGGACTAATTGTTTGTTCAGGTAAAATCCAAACCAATTATTATTATTATTATTATTATTATTATTATTATTATTATTTTCTTTCACACAAATTGAAGTTGACAAAATCTAATATTTGCAGATCAACACTACACCGAGTTATGCCAACCGGGAAAGAGCGATATTCTGTAATTACTTTCTCCTAACCAATGAAAATCACAGTCTTGCGTTTGCTGCTTATATGTTTGTATTGGTTGGTTATTATATATGTTTTCGTAAGAAATTAACATGTAGAAGAGAAAATATTAAATATTAAATATTAAATATTAAATATGCAGATGGCCTTCTTTTTGGATCCTAACCCGGATTGTATGGTGGAGTGCTTGAAAAGTTGCTGCAGCGAATCATCTCCTCCACGGTATGTATCATGTAATTTTATCATCAAATGTGAATGTATAACACAATCATAGCCATTAGATTTATGAAATCAAAGGTTATGATTATCAATGACATGATGGTAATTTATAGCAAAAGAAATAATGTTTTTAAATTTAAACTCTTTAAAAGGTAAAATAGACTTTTTGTGTATAATCAAATAAGTCAAATCGGGATTTTTAGGCAATACATTTTTTTTTTTTGGCAGATAAAACATTTACAAATTATTATTATTTGTAGGTTGATTACAGGGTAATTCTTTTTAAAAAGTTAAGACATTTTTGAAAGAATAACAACAAAAACAATATTAAATTCTAAACTTTCTTAAAAGAATAGGTTTTCTTCTTGAAGAAATACACTGTCATCCTTTTAACATAATAATTTAAGCAAAAACAATTAAGGGCCTGTTTGGTTCGCTGGAATGTAATGGAATTGTGGGAATTGGAATCCAATTTCATCACATTCCGGTGTTTGGTTCAACTTTTTGAGATGGAATTGGATTCGTAAATGATTTTTTTTCCACAAAATGAATGAAAGTGAATTCCTTCAAAGTTTGGATGGAATTAATTCCAATTCGAAAGTGTATTCCGTTACTGTTACCACCACCTATCACCGGCACCATCACTACCGCCACCACCACCGCTACAACCACCACACCGCCACCAGCCACCACCATCATGGCCGCCACCTGCCCCCATCTCCACCCCCACCCCTACCGCAACCACCACCACTGCTGCCACCACCACCACCTACCACTACCGCTGCTACCACAACCACCACCGCCGCTACTAGCCACCACCTACCACCTACCACAACTGCCATAACGTTACTGCTATCGTCCATCACCGCCACCATCACGCACCACCTCCGCCATCACAACCACCATCGCCACCATCACCAACCACCACATATAACCTATAAAAAAGTAAAATTAAGCAAAAAAAGGTCAATTATGTCATTTTACATTTTTCCAATTATATTTCTTGCCAACCAAACAAAATATGGAATTGGATTCTAATTTAATTTCTTGCCAGCCAAACAGACAATGGAATTGGATTCCAATTCCTAACAAATTCCAATTCTTTTATAAACATTCTGCGAATCAAATGCCGCCTAAGAATACAACAATCACTCTAAAAACATAATACTGTCAATTTTGAATATATATATATATATATTAAGAAATCACTCTAAAAGCTAATAATTACAACAAAACAATTAAGAAATCTATTATTCTAACCATTTTTGAAAGAATACGTTTCGGTCTTGAAAAAATACAGTCACATGTTTTTTGTGAAAGAAATTGTTGCCGGTCTTGGAAAAACACGTCTTGTCGTGTAAGTTTGACAAAAAGAAAAATGAAGAACAACCGTCTTCCTATTTCACGCATGTAAAAAGGGAAATTGTCAGAAAAGTCTCAATATTTTTGGAAAAGTTTCACATTAGTCCCAAAAAGTCATGATTATTTAATTTTACATGATAATATGTCATTTCTTGTTAAAAGGAAAAAAAACGATTTTTTTTTTGTTAATTTGAGCTAAAATGAAATAATCGGGACTTATGTTCAAATTATTTTTTTTGGACTAAAGTGAAATTTTTCTGAAAATATTGAGATTTTTCTGACAATTTCCCCGCATAAAAAAAACAAGTTTAATCAATTTTTAAATTATGACTTTATTTAATTACAAAATCATTAATATAGTACTGTTAATTAAATCTTGGATATTTTTTACAACATTTAAGGAAAGATAAATTTAATATTAAAAAATAAAATCCAAAAGCCTCTTTGTTACAATGATATGTATGTTAAAGCTTATATAAAATCCTATAAGCTTAAGACGTGGAAAAGCAACGAGAAACAAAATAAAAGACAATCAAGCACTATGATCTATTATAACTCAATACTTGCCGATCATCACGGAGAGTAATTCCAAACTATGCACATAATATAAATCCAACAAAAACATGCAATTGCTTTCTCACCACAAATAGCAAAATCCAAAACACATACCAAAATCTAGTCAATTATTATTGCACACATTTAAAATCTGCACGAGTCAACAAACAAATGTAATGTTTGCGTGTCCATTTATAATGTTATTTTTTCGGATTCTTTTTCTTGATTATATCAAAAAATTTAATTTTTAATTCTCTAAAATGAACATTAATATCGCTATAATACTTTTTATTTATTTATAAAAATACGGTTTTTTTATTATTCATAATTTTTTTATTATATGTATAAATCAAACGTGATTAAGTATTCACATATGATTAAACCATGTTTTTGCGCTTTCGATTCCACAATTGTTTTATTATATATATATATATATATATATATATATATATATATATATATATATATATATATATATATATATATATATATATATATAGTTTGGAATTGGAATTTGAATTTGAATTGGAACGGGATGGTGTGTGTGTAGGTTTCCTCCGATCCGTAGTGGAGACTACCTCAGAGACCGTATCACTGCTGCATATTCCTATTCTTAAATTTTAATGTTTACTGATATTATTATTTCAGATTGTATATTTTTAGACCTAACTCATCCATCTAATTGATGCATGCTACTTTGTTTCATCTTCTATGTTTGCTTTTTTCATATTCCAAGTTTCTATGTAATTGTATACAATCTTCTTCTTACTTAAAATATATTTTTACATCATCTTTCGTCATATATTATATTTATATATGAATAAAATATGTATTAGTTGTCGTCATATTTTATATTCATATATGAATAAAACATTTATCAGATATTTGTTACAGTTAATTTGTTATTCATATATGAATAAGTAGTATATAAATGATACTTAAACTGTAAAAAAAAAATTATATATTTTTATTCATAAGTGAATAACGAATGTACTATAGCAAAAATCTGATGCATTTTTATTCACTTATGAATAACGATAGCTGAAAATATAAAAAAAAAAAAAAAATTTTATTTTACCTAAAAAGTATATGAATATGGATGTCTATTTGTAGAGAATAAAAAATCATGAATTTTGGTATATTTAAAATCATTTTTCGATAAAAATAGCTTCTTAAAAATTAAAAAAACGAAAAAAACTATGTTTTTCTATATATATTAAGGTAATGATTAGTATAGTTTAAGGAAACATGTTTTGTTGGAAACACATGTGTATTCCTTATCCATTTCCGCTGTTACAACGGAGGCTTTTGCGGCAAAAATAAATTAGTTGCTGAGAATGATTCCCCCATTCTCAACCTTTTTTATTTTCTCAATTGAACTTACCTATATATATATATATATATATATATATATATATATATATATATATATATTATATATATATATATATATATGGGACGGTTCACTTGAGATTAAAAAAAAAAGTAAGATCTTGAGATTCAACCTGAGCCATACATTTCACATTTACCGCTCTAACGCTCCAGTGTACCGACAGCGACAGTGTATGCGTAATCATAAATGATATACATATATGTCTGTTCACATACTGTGTAATCTATAATTATGACAGCTGGTGGCAGAAAATGTAGAGGTGACAATGGTGGTGTCGGTTGGTGTCAGAGGTGGTGGTAGTGGTGGTGCCGGTAGCGGTTGTGGTGGTGGGGGATGTTGGAATAGGAGAAAGGAACGGGCGACGCTATATAATCATTTATTATTATAACTGGCCTCCCGCGCCGGTACGCCGGAGGGTTAGAGCGGCAGACTTGAAATATGTGGCTGAGGTTGAATTTCAAGATCTCTATTTTATTTTTAATCTCAACGGAACCTATTTATATATATATATATATATATTATATATATATATATATATATATATATATATATATATATATATATATATATAAAAGTGTGTTCAATCGAGAACATTATTTAAAAAAATTATTTACTTCATTAATGATTTATATGTGGGAAAACCATACAAAAACCCTATGTATTATACACGAGTGCTTAAAAAAACCCTTATATTAATTTTATGTACAGTTTAACCATTATTATTTTTGAAACCGTCTGTGACATCCCCAATTTCACGGCCAGAAAAGACCGATTTTGTTTATGCTTTTTAAAATAAAATCAGAGTAATCATTTGATTATAAGTGTTGCGGAATTTGTTCCCAAAACCAAACATGATAAAAATTTATCAAAACCTTTCTTTAAGAAATATATATTTTTATTTCATAACAAAACCTCGGGATGTCATGTTCCGATACAGATAAAAGCATAAACAAGACATTATAAGCCTTACACAGTTAATTACAACTACTGGCCTATAATCCAAAATCAATCATCGTCATCATCCGACTATGCTCAGGGTCCACTACCTGTAATATAAAAAGCTGAGTGGGTCAGGCTTGGAAGCCTGGTGAGCATATAGGGTTTTCAACCCACAATAAATAATAAACTCTTTAAGTTTATCAATCAACAAATAATTTATTAAGTTTCATCAACCAAAAACAACCCTAATTACCCATTTCCGTTATCCTCACCTTACGTCCCTAAAACAACTATCACAAGGGACCTAGCCTAAGGATTTTCATTAGGGGTGACAACTTTGCTTCGGGGGTTCCTCAGCAATTATGTCAAATAAGGCAACCTACATGGTGTGACACACTGCTTCCTCATCAATTTATGTCAAACAAGACAACCTAACACAAAATGACCAATAAGGTGACAACATTGCTTTCTTCAGCAATTTATGTCAAATAAGGTAAACACCGGGGTGACAACATTGCTTTTCCCTTAGCAATTTATGTCAAATAAAACAACCAATAATAGGTGACAACATTGCTTTCTTCAGCAATTTATGTCAAATAAGACCACCTGACATAAAACAATCAGTATGGTGACAACATTGTTTTTCTCAGCAATTTATGTCAAATAAAACAACCAACGTGGTGACAACACTGCTTTTCCTTAGCAATTTATATCAAATAAAACAAACATCGGCGACAACATTGTTTTCCTTCAACAATTTATGTCAAATAGGCACGAAGTCACATCGTCGCCAAGGTTTATACAACAGGCACTAAGTCGATAGCTGCCAACATACTAAATCCGTAGCTACCAACGTACATCTATATTGTACAAAATTCATAGCTACCAACGTACATTTATACTGTACTTCTATCCCTCATACTTTATCTACTCATGTTTTACCCAACATATTTGAAGATAAAATATATATACATTTTTAAATCATTTTAGACATGTATAAAACATTCATTAAACACCCATCTCGATAAACAAACAACATATATACACACAGCACGTATTTTTATAAAAATACTTCATATCTATGTGTAAGATGAAAGTGACTACACACTCACCTGATTTAATGAAAATCGGGCAGCAATTCGTTTCCTAAAACAATCGTTTCTAATAAAATCTGGAGTTTTATTGAGAAACCAGGCTCTGCGAGGGTCGGGCTTTGAAACCGGAAAGATAAATTATAGGGGTATGAACTCACTTTGATAAGCGGTGATTCGGGCAGCGTTTCGTTTCCCGTAAAGAGTTTATTTAACGAGAAACCGGCTCAAACCGGGCAGAGTTTCGACAGGAGAGAGGATGAATTCTCGAGAATTCCAGGGCTTCGGGTCTTGCTTCGGGCTTTAGAAGTGATACCGGGGCTTTAGGGGTTGTATATGAGCTTATGGGAGTGGAAAATGTGAAAGAGGATGAAAATTGGGGTGAAAAAGTGTAAAAATTCGGAAGCCCTCGCATGCATATATATAGTCCGAAGGTTCGGACCCGGAGCTATGCGAAGCTGACACGCGTCGGACAGGTGGCTTACTTCGGACCGAAGGCTCGCAAGGTGCTAGGCTCGGATTGGACCAAACCTCGGTCCAATGGGAAGGGGCCACGTGCGAAGGAGGGTGTCCGAGGGGTGTCTCCAGGGCATCTCATGCGAAGCTATTGGCTTCTAAGTGGACCTCGGCTGCGGTCCAATCAGGAGGTGCCACACATGGGTTCGGTCCACTCAGCAGCTGCCACGTGCGAGGGTGACGTGGCATGCGAAATTGCCTGGTTTTTCCCATTTTTTCTTTATTTTTTGTGCCAAACTTGCGAAAATCATAACTTTCGCATACGAGCTCCGTTTTTGGCGTTCTTTATATGCACGCATAGGTAAAATCATACTCTACGACTTTTGTTTAGACTTCGTCGGCTAATTTTGACTTTATTTTTATATTATTATTTTTAACAGACCGGGACAGAAATCCGTTAAAAATTCATAACTTCTTCATCCGACGTCAGTTTCGTCAGACCTTTTTACCGTTGTGCTACTAATGACGAGACCTTCGATTCTCGTTTAGGTCGTGTCGGCTAAAAATCACTCGATCTAAAATTCGAGTTTTTTGCTGTCTACTGCTCATACGAAGTCAGATTTGGGCGTTCTTTTTATACCTACTCTCGGTTTAACGAACACTACGAGTTTCGTTTAGATCACTAAGGCCAAAAAGTAGTTTATCGAAAACTCACTTTTTACGACATTCGGCCCCGTGCTGGTTTGTCGCGAAACTTCGACAGGTCATAACTTCTTCGTTATAACTCGGATTTCGGCGTTCTTTATTTTCGGAACTCGAGACATATACTACAACTTGGTTAAGATTAATCCTTCTAATTAATCTTCCATCAAAAAGTCATTTTTGATGCTTATCGTCTCTAAATTGACTAGCCCGGATCTACGGGCGTTACACCGTCTAACCTATCTAACTTAACTGGTAAACCCTAGAGACGTTTTTTTTTTTTTAAAGAGGCGTTCTTATCACTGTACGTGGAATACCCTTCATGTACACAGTAACCATGTAAGGATACAAGATTCTTGTGTTAACCTGTTGATAATGCTTCCACTTGTACTTTGAATTCTCTAGCGATTAAACCCCCATCATCTTCCCCAATAAATTTATGTAAAAACACACACCCGAATCCAAGAACAATTCCAAAGAAATGGAGGAAAAAACTAAACTTTTATTGCTTTCTTTACTCTTTCTGCTTGCAGTTCACGGCGCCGCCGGAGGTTTTGTTGGTGGTGGAAGAACCACCATAAATGGGTGGTCAAACTCAAACACATCGACTCTCAACAATGCTTACATTGCCCTCCAATCATGGAAGTCAGCCATCAAAGATGACCCTAAAGGAATCGAGGGTATTCTCGTAAAAGAACTTTCCCTCCTCAAAGACATGACTCTCCTCCACCTCAACAACAATAGTTTCATATGAACAATCCCAGATAGCTTAAAAGACCTCTTTTCCCTCATTGAACTTGACCTCAGCAATAACCAATTCTCCGGACCTTTCCCTACCATAATTCTCTAAATCCCAAACCTCGTGTATCTAGACCTTAGATTCAATCTATTTTCAGGACCCATTCGAGACCTTGTATTCACGAAAGAATCTTAACGTAATTCTACTCAATAACAACAATTTCGAAGGTCAAATCCCACAGAGTCTAGGCAATTCCCCTGCTTTGGTAATCAATTTAGCCAATAACAAGTTGACAGGTGACATTCCGATTAGCTTCGGGTATTCTAGTTCAGGATTGAAAGAGATCATGTTCTTGAACAACCAATTAAGAGGTTGTATCCATCAAGGAATCGATAATCACTAATCCTGTTGAGTTGTCGCTTATAGAGGAAGGAATGACGCCGATGAAGGTATTGTTGGTGACATTGAGAGCAATCAGGCTTGGTATGGCCTGGAGAAACGCAGCTTGAATCGTGCCATTGAAACAACTACCGTAGAAATTTAGCGATTGGATTGTAGGAGGCAAGATGTCCAGTAACTGTCCAGAAAACCTATTGTAGCTCACGTCAATGATGCGAAGGTTGTTCATAGAGGAAAAAAGTCCATCGGGGAGGAGTCCAGATAGGAAATTACACGACAGGTTTAGGAGGGAGATAGTGTTGAGAGATTGAAGAGAAGAAGGGATTACACCACGAAGACCTCTGTCAGGCAACGACAACTCCACCACCCAATTCCCTATGTCATCACAATCAATTTCATCCCATGAACAACAATCAATGGCGGCAGTCCAATTAAGGGTGGGGAAGTTGGCGGCGAATGACAGTAGCGAATCGCGATCAGAGCTAGAACAAGCGGTATCTGTAGGTAGAATTGAGAACACAAGTATAATCAACAATCAAAGAATACCCAAATAGAAGAAAAAGAAGAATAAAAGGGGTTTTGGTTTTGGTTTTGGCAGCATGATCGCTGCAGAGAAGAAACAAGAAGAAATGGGAGGAGGGATTAGGAAGAATAAGAGAGTTGTTGAAGATGAGTGAATGATGATGATGATCTTTGAAGATGGTGATTTTTAAAGCAACAAACACCTTTTTAACCTGAATTTGCTTGTGTAAAATGATACCAGTCATTTAGTTACCGGTTGGTAAAGGGCAACCGGTTATAAAACATTAAACATGATAAGTGAGAAATAATAATGGTTAAATTGTGCATAAAATTAATATAAGAGTTTTTTTAAGCACTCATGTATAATACATAGGGTTTTTCATGTATAATACATAGGGTTTTTCTATGGTTTTCCCTTTATATATTATTTATTAATTTTATTATATAAAAAATAAAAAGATAACCCACCCATCATACCGTCACACCCCAGCACACCCCACCTTATGATATCTTTTCATTTTTCAGAATATTACATTTCAATGCACCACAAAGACTGTCAACCCACCACCAACCGTTGTCGGACCGCCACCCGCTGTCGCAGGAGCGCCACCGCATCAAATCTTTGTGAAATGTCGCCGTGAACCACCTACATTCGTCTCCTCTTCTTAAACTTGCTCCCTCTGCCGCTTATTTTCCTCCGCCGGAAAGGTACCTCGCTGTAAACAACCTTGTCGAAAATCATCTCCTTCTCTTCTTGTTTTCATCACCGGATCTGGATTTGAATTGAAGGCCATCAGATTTGGTTTCTGACTCCATAAAGCAGATCATGAATCCGGAGAAATGTCTATCGGAATCAATTACTGATGGAGGTGCGGAAGAGGTAAAGCAGGAGGTCTGGTTCTTATACGAGTTACAAAACATCATGGTCGCAGGCGGTGACGACGAGATCGAAAAGACTCCACCACCAGGGGCAGTTCGCTGCCTCCCATCTCGTTGTGGAGCCTGAGCCTGAGGGTGGCCACTGGTCGACATGTTTCATCGGATCTGAAGTAAGGCCACATATCTGAAGGAAGGCTTGGACGACTATCACCGGAGATGAAGGTGTCTCCAGAAGGGAGGATCCTTCACGATCAATGCCATATCGACGAGTATCAGAGAAAGATTGTGACATCCCCATTTTCACGGCCAGAAAAGACCGATTTGTTTATGCTTTGTTTTAAAATCAGAGTAATCGTTTAAAGAAAACAGTTGCGGAATTTGTTCCCAAAACAAAATGTGATAAGAATTTATCAAAGCATTTCTTTAAAGAAATGTATTTTCATTAAATAACAAAATCTCGGGATGTCATGTTCCGATACAGACCAAAAGCATAAACAGTACAATACAGACCTTACAACAGTTATTTATAACTACTGGTCTACAATCCAAAATCTCTCGTCAAGTCATCCGACTTATACTCTTGTGCCATTACCTGTAATACAAAGAAAACTAAGTGGGTCAGGCTTGGGAGCCTGGTGAGCATATAGGGTTTTCAACCCACAATAAAATATTATATTATATTTAATCATCAAACCATCAACCCAATTACCCACCCCCATTGTCTCCTTTATTTCTTAAGGATTTACCCTAAGAATCACCTATCCTTCATTCATTCATTCCTAAAGATTGACTTTAAGGAATAGACACAAATTCCACTGTTATTTAAGGCGCGGCTGCCAATGATATCTATTAGGCGCATCTGCAAATATTATCATTTACGCGCATCTGCCGACGTTATCCTTTAAGCGCATCTGCTAGTATTATCCTATAAGCGCATGTGCTAGTATTATGACATTCTCTATTTGGCGCATCTGCCGACCTTATCCTATAAGCGCATCTGCCAGGATTATCCTATAAGCGCATCTGCTAGTATTATGACATTCTCTATTTCGTGCATCTGCTAGGATTATGACATTCACTATTAAGCGCATCTGCTAAGATTATGACATTTACTATTAAGCGCATCTGCTAAGATTATCTATAACATCTTTCATACCATATCACTTATCTACCCATGTTTTACCCGACATATTCGTAGATATAAAATTACATATATAGTTTAAATCATTTAAAAACCTATATAAAACATTCATTCAACATCCATCTCAAGTAAACAAACAACGTATAAACACATATCACGTATTTCATAGCAAATACTTCATATCTATGCGGTAGAAGAAAGTAACTACACACTCACATGTTTAGACGATGCTCGGACAGCACTACGGCTCTAAGAGTAGTATTCTTCAGTGAAACCGGGATATCTTCACACACCGGGCTTCTTGCGGGCAGAGCTTCGGCTCGGAAACTCTTTTCTTCTCGGGATCTTCGGGCTTCGGGACTCGCTTCGGGTCTCGGGATGATACCGGGGCTTCGGGGGTACTTCTTTGCACGTAAATCGAGGTAGTATGGGTGAGAGAAGGGTGGATTAGCAACTTTGGCCGGCTGCCCCTTCAAATCTATTTATAGGGCAAATTTCTCATTTTCCACGTCGTGGGCACTGTTTCCACGTCGTGGGATTGGTCATCACTGCATGCGTCATCGCAAGTTGGGTCTGGCAGACTCCAGGAGGCGTCAGAAAACATGCCACGTCGTGGGCACTGTTTCCACGTCGTGGCCACTGACACAACTTTGGGGTTCGCGCCCCGAACTTCAGAAATTCATAACTTTCGCATACGAACTCCGTTTTCGACGTTCTTTATATCGACGCGTAGGTGAGATTATGCTCTACAACTCTCGTTTAGACTCCGTTGGCTAATTTTGACTTTATTTTTAATATATTATAAATATATTACTTTTATATTATTCTTATTAGGCCGGGACAGGAAAACTCCATTAGAAATTCATAACTTCTTCATCCGACGTCCGTTTTCGTCTGTCTTTTTACCGTTGGACTACTATCGATGAGATCTTCGATTCTCATTTAGAAAGTTTTGGCTAAATATCGCTCGATCCCATATTCGAACTTCGGGCTGCATACTGCTAAGCTGAAACTTAGAAAAATCATAACTTCCTCATACGAAGTCAGATTTGGACGTTCTTTTTATGCACGCTCTCGGTTTAACGTATTCTACGACTTTCATTTAGATCGCTAAGGCTAAAAAGTCCTCCATCGTAAATTCACTATTTACGTCTCCCGGTGTCGTGCCGGTTTTGCCGAAAAACTTCGACGGGTCATAACTTCTTCGTTATAACTCGGATTTCGGCGTTCTTTATATTTTCGGAAACCTTGTGACATATACTACAACTTGGTTAAGATTAATCCTTCTAAATAATCTTCCATCAAAAAGTCATTTTTGATGCTTATCGTCTCTAAATTGACTAGCCCGAATCTGCGGGCGTTACAAAGATAATTTGAATCATGGATGTGAATCATCGCATACTCCGCTTCACATCAGGATGGCAAAGGTGGTGGTGAAACCGTAGCTCCGACGGTTTTCATCGGAGGGATGCGTATTGGAGGATTAGAAAGCTTTGTCGGACTCCACTTGAGCAGCCATCTTGTTCTGAAGCTTGAAGAAGTTGGTGTATAGCAGTGGAAGAGGAGTACGTTGGAAAAGATAATGTAACTCCTTACCATTTTGACTTTTCAAAATTAGGTTATATGTTGCAATATAATTAAAACGAATCATAAGGCTTTTGTAGGCTTTTTTGTGGGCTCAAGTAGTTGGTTTTAATTCTCAATTAAATTAAATCGTATGGACCACTTTTACATTATAATTAAGGGAAAATGACTTAGGAGGGTAACTACCTTTTATCTGTGTTCACATATTGGCAACTTCTTTTTTTTGTACATAAGAAAGCAACTAACTTGTTTTAACTGTTTAAATTACACCAATATTATCGGCTAATACCTGTTTTAACCGGTAACTCAAAAGGAAAATAACTTAGGAGGGTAACTACCTCTTATCCGTGTTCACATATTGGCAACTTCTTCTTTTTTGTACATAAGAAAGCAACTAACTTGTTTTAACTGTGTAACATCCCAAAAATCATGACCAAAAATTTCGTTTTTAATTTAATACTAAAACCATAATTGTCAAACCATTAATTTAATACTCCAGCATCGGGCCCCGCCCGACATCAGACCCTGTCGAACCCCGCTTAGTATACAGATCTGTCTCTCTTAGGCCTCGCCTGTCTCCGGGCCCCGCCCGCTAAACACATACAATCATATAACATGCTAACACATAAAGAAACATACTCTATTGTATCCCTGTCCTAAGAAACATACTATGCTAATAATGAGATACGGAACCTCGTTCGTACTCAGCTAGTGATGAGATACGAGACCTCGCCCACACTCACCTCCCTACCAGGCACATACAAGTATCACACAGACAACAAGTATAATCTAACATGCAAACAATCCCCGGGCACCCGCCCGACATCGGACCTTGGTCCGGAATAACATACTAGCATACAATGCCTAGGGCTAACCCCCGTGTCTTCCTACTCATAGACTACATGGGCTGGCATTGTGGCCTTAGACCCATTCACATAGTGAGGAGACTCACCTTGCACTGCTGAAGCCCTGGCTGGACCTAGCTGAGTACGGACGAGGTTATGTATCTCATTATTAGCAGAGTATGTTTCTTAGGACAGGGATACAGTAGAGTATGTTTCTTTATGCGTTAGCATGTTATATGATTGTATGTGTTTAGCGGGCGGGGTCCGGAGACAGGCGGGGCCTAAGCGAGACAGATATGTATACCGAGCGGGGCTCGATGCCAGGCGGGGCCTAATGTCGGGCGGGGCCCGTTGCCGGAGTATTAAATTAATGGTTTGACAATTATGGTTGTAGTATTAAATTAAAAACGAAATTTTTGGTCATGATTTTTAGGATGTTACATAGTTAAAACAAGTTAGTTGCTTTCTTATGTACAAAAAAGAAGAAGTTGCCAATATGTGAACACGGATAAGAGGTAGTTACCCTCCTAAGTCATTTTCCCTTTGAGTTACCAGTTAAAACAGGTATTAACCGGTAATATTGGTGTAATTTAAACAGTTAAAACAAGTTAGTTGCTTTCTTATGTACAAAAGAAAAGTTGTCAATATGTGAACACAGATAAGAGGTAGTTACCCTCCTAGTCATTTTCCCTATAATTAATGGGTTTAGTTTTATTAGATTTAATATAAGATATATGTAGATGAGGTAAAGTTTTATTTTCATATATTTGTTTGTGGGCTCGTCATATATTTTTTTCACATACATATTTTTTTAATTAAATATAATATGAGCCTACTGATAACATGGTATCTTAAGATATATTATTTATAAAAAATTGATCAACAGAATGAACATTTGGCGAACAGTTTTATTTACAAAAGGATTATATTCGACTAAAGAAGATGGCTAACTAAAGAAGATGACTATTATATATATATATATATATATATATATATATATATATATATATATATATATATATATATATAGGGCTAGGTTATAATGTGGATGACATCTATTGTGCGGTCGTAAGGATAATTTTGGATGAAAGGATGAAAAAAAATTAAATGACTATGATGTGAGGGTCTATCATATTACAATGGAATAACATGTATCATATAATTACAAAAATTCCATTGTAGGGGTATTTTAGTCGATTACACTTTATTTAAAAAAAGGAAATTTCGGATTTTAAGGATAATCTTAATTATAAACTCTGATTTTTTTAAATTAATTTGATTTCAATTCTAACGTAATATTTAATCATAATTCATTTTATTCCATCAGAATGTTATGTTAAAATGATATTCAATGAGAATGTAAATCATAAACTAATAGAAAGTCTTGACTATTAAATTTTTTTTCCACTAAAAGTGAATATTAGATAATCCTTTAATCAATCTCAAAGAATTAACCGAATAACATAGAATTTTAATGGGAAAAATGTTAATGTAAAATATATTTTTGCAAATTCTGTTTACACTTTTATGAGAATGAATTTATAACATAATTAGAAACTGAAATACATAAAAAAATAAATAAA